AATTCCCTGGGAAATTTTAACCAAGATCCAAACAATGTCAAGCAATAAAATATACTCATAGCCCCTAACCCTTACTTGTCTAATTCATAGCACTTAAAAGTACAAGGAATCATAGTTTATGGCTAAAACATTCCCAGGAGCTTGTCAAAAAATGAAACCTGTTGCTTGAAAAGAGTTCCCAAAAAACTCCATGTTATGCCAAAAACTTTCGCCAACTTCCCTTAACGAACTCGCCGGCCATTTAATCACAAATCAACTTTCACGCCCCCGAAAAATAAAATATAAAAAATACTCCCAGCAGCGCACTCGAAAAACACTTGAAAATTTTGAGCTGCAGAAAAATATGAACTCTCGTCTCTGTTGAGCGCTCACTTAAAGTTAGCCACATTAATCTACAATTACTTTGTATGGCCCATGGCCAAGTCCAAGAAAAATGACTCAATTTAAATCAATAAAAGGGCTCAGTAACCGCTATTCCCGATTCCCGATTCCCCTCCCTTTTTGGAGCACATGGTGACCCCCAGTTTGCAAACCTACCGTCCGAATGGCCGCATACGAGTGCCAGATGAGACGCGGACTAAGAGGCTGCGGATCGTAGCGAAGGCGAGCATATTGCTTCATGAATATTTTCCAGATTACATAAGCCATTGCAGTTGGCGCTTCTCCGTCACCGTTGCCGGTCATGAAGATCGATATCCACATGCAAATTATATGCGTGCCAGGAAACTGCCGGCAGTGCACAATCCAGATTTGGGTTTTAGGCCGGGAAGCTCCGGCTTAATGCGTAGTTTGTGTTGCGTTTATTGTTTTCATAAATAAAAAGACAAGTTAAATGGGGGGGAAGAAGGCACTCGGAAATTTGTCGGTTTGCATTATTATTATTATTATTTGTATTATTCCTTATTATTATCGGTACGATTCACTTGGCAGATGGATTCACTTCATTTTTCACGGCACCACAAAAAAGCCAAACAAAAGCCACAAGGCAGGGCTGTGTGGCACATTGAGCCTCGTCCTCGTCCTCGTCCCGTCCTCCTCCTCCTTCGTGATCTTGTGTATTATTTTAATATTTATTTACATTTTGAGCATTTTGCATAACGCGCGGGTCACGACGGAAATCGTCGGCTGGCAATTTATCAATACATAGTTGTTTCCCCCAGTTGTGTTTGCCCAAAGGAAGGCAAATACGAAGGCAAAGGAGATGTAGATGTGGAGCCCAAGCCAGAGTTGGGGAGGGCAGAAATCAAAAACAAATGAAAAACGCGCCAAAAAATCAAAACGCGCACAGATTTGTTTTTTTTTTTTTTTGGCTTCGATCAATGGGGAATAAAGTTGAACCGGTGGGGACCTCCGCGGGCTGGCGTCTCTGTCCGGGAAACAAGTTCAAAGCGTTTGCGGCGGCCGCTTTGCACCAACTAAATTGAAATGAGGCGAACGCCAAATGGAAATGGAAAAGCCCCAGCGAATTCGAGGGTGTAACTCACAGATACTCGCCGATACCCATCCCGTTTTTCCACCCCGCTGCAGGCTTCAATGATTTTCCATGCGTGCGAACGGGGCGCTTTTGTAACCAGCGCGATATTTTTGAATTTTGGTCTGGGCTTTTCTATACTGTTGCTTTAGCCAAGCTCAGCTGACTCAGAGACGCCTGAGAAACGCCGATGGAGGGAACATCAATGGCAATAGCAACAATAAACACAACACACCCACAATTACCGGTGATTTATAGTGACACAGTCAAGGATATGTTGACTTTGTCAAACAGTTGGTGGCTGCATTAGAATACAATCAGAGAATAAATATCATGACATGAATTTCTAACATTAAAATTCGAAAAAATATTTAAATATTGAATTCTGTGAATTTTGATAGAATATTTTTTAAAGTAAAGCAGAAATATACACCATATAATATAACATTTTGTATATAAATGCCTTACAGATACTTGCAGTGAATGAAAAGAAACAATTACAAATTGAATTTTGAAAATTTATAGAACATTATATCTTTTTTGGTAACCTTAGATTCATTTATTTGGTATCAAAAGTGGTATTGCTATTCATTTAACACTAGAAGTATTATTTATTGTAGTTATTTTATAGTAATAATAGTATAAAGGAATATCTTTGAGTAGAAAATAAAATTATTAAATGAGCTATACGAATATTAAAGAAAGTTCATCTGCGAACGAGACACTTTTAACAAAATATTACGATCTTTGATCTCTTTATGCAACATCTTTTATTCTAATATTAAACCATCCCTTAAATTGTAAAAATAAGTGAACATTTTATTGTTTTTTTAATCCAATAATTATAACTATTCTCAAACAGCTCAAAGATTCTTTTCTAATAACCAAAACAGATAATATACATTTTATTTTCCCTTCTAAAGTGTATGTAATAATGCGACTTTTTTGAAATCATAAACTATTCATTCGGTTCCATTTAGTCAGTATTTCAAGCGGGGGAATCCGAGGTCTGTTTTATGCACAATGTTATTGTTTACTTCGCTCCACAACCCCCACCCGCCTTCCTTGGGGGGCCCATCCCTCAACCGGTATTGTGGATAGTCCCATAAAGCATCATATAGACATCTTCAACTTCTGCCTTGAACTTGGCAAGTTCGCATATACAATACTATACCATATGTACATATATACATACAAGTATATAATAGGGCTCTGCCCATATATTTTGTTTGCTACTTTGTCGGTGTTTAGCTTATGCCTTTTGACAGGCATTTTGTTTACAGTCTCAGGCCTGAGCTAACGAGCTTCAAGCTGGTACCGGGACGTGGACTCCTTTTGGTTCCTGGCCTCGAGATCCCCTATTGGGGATAGCGATTTCGTTAATCGGAACACGCGATGAGTGTTTACTCCCGCCTCAGTTTCAGTTTCACAAAATCTGAACAAAAAACTTTTTGGAGTGCGAGGAGAGTGAGAATAAACATTTGCCGGAGCCGAGGTATAAACAATACTGAGTGCCATAAATATAAGTATTAAGTGCTCTTCCCGGTGGGTCTGCCATAATTCCATTTGTAATTGGAACGAGAACTCTAGCCCAGCGAATTGGACGATGAGCAAGGGTATCAATATTTCCGACAATTAATAACAATTAATTTTCCAAGCAAATGCGGATGAGTCACACAATCGTGATTTGAAGCTTGGATATTGTTAATAATTAAATGAAGTCAAAGCAAAATTGGAGGGTTTTGTCTCTTAAATTATAAAAACCAGTTTCACCCTACAAAATGACAGAAAAACTATTGACTCAATTGCCTCTCTTTTAAATATTAGAAAACTCTTTAATATGCCATGGGGCGTTCAACTTAACCCCTACGTGCTCTGCTTGAGATCCGCATTGTTGAAAACGCAAATATTTCGAAATCGCACAACTAAAACTACAGATAATTGCCAAAAATCACCGGCAGAGTCAACTTTCATAAAACGGCATTCAATTTGATTTGCACAATTTGGTGGGGCTTTTAACAGCTCCTCTTGTCTGTCGGCTTTTAAATAAATACATGTACATATGTATATATACTATTTTTTTTTTGCTTGGCATTTTGGCATTTGTTTGAATTGATAACAGGCTGGAAGTGCCTTTCAGCCTGACAGCCATAATCGCTCAACGCCAACTGTTTGTTGTTTTTTTGTTTTTTTGCATCAGGGTGGAGTAATGGAAATGGAGTAGTTTTCTTTTTGGGGGTAGTTGGGTTGGCCAGGGGATGAAGTAAGTGCACAGGTAGCAGGAGCTGGGAACCAAGCCTATGTCTCCGGCAGGTCGATGGACACACCCACCTGGATAGAGGATAGTGGAGAGTGAAGAGTGGAGCATGGAGAGCGGAAAAGCGGAAGCGGAACAAAGCCTCAGACAGTTGGAACCCAGAGACCGCAGACCCTCTTGATGGAGAAATTATAGCGAGTCACGCGAGTGCAGAAAACTTTTCTAACCCTTCCAGCCGGCTGTGCCCCGATTCACAGGAAAACCAGAATTAGCTAAAATAGAAAACAAAAAAAATTGCACCTAAAGCCCGAAATGATTGTCTTTAATTGAATTCACTGCCAGCCAGAATAACTTTTAATTGAATTCCGGCTAAAGTCTAGAACTTGGCGAGGTGAAATGATGACCCACTTGGGATCAACCAAAGGATGTGATGCACAAGGAAAATTATTTAAGGAATTTGGAATTTAAGGGGTATATTTAATATTATATATACATATTAATTAGTACTTTTTTTTCTATTTACTTATATCAAGGAAAGAAATGGTTAGTTTGTTCAGGAAAGTGAAGAATTATAAACAACCATTAAATGTTGGCTTACTCATTGAACATAATAATATTTTTAATTAAATTACAACTAATTATAGTATATTTGTATTTTATAAGACATTTAATATTTAATAATCTAACAATATATATATTTAGTTAGTCTTCAAAAATAAGGCATTGAAAAATGGAAAACAACCTCTTAATAATTTATGTAAAGCTTATTTAAGAAATAAACAGTTCCACATTAATTTGTTTTGCCTTATAGTCAGTAACTTACAGCTGTAAGTTGTGTAAACAGATTTTTTGTTAAAACAAACCCTGGTTAATTTAAATGTATTGGAATTAATAGTTAAAATTAGAACCTGTAAAGTGTTGTTTATCGTAAGCTTAGTAGGTGGTATGTACCAGCTTTAAGGTATAAAAAGGTGTTATAAACATTTGTTAATCAGCTGTAATATTAACTGCAATCGGTACCTGGTACAAGGAATTTATATTTTTGAATATAATAGATTATATTTTAATATGTATATGTATATATCTTTATCCTAAACATCTTTATCTAGGTTTATTCTATTTATACTCTATAAACCATCACCTCTCATCTCGTGACCTTTCTAAATCAACTTCTAACTGTGCCGGGTTTTACTTTATAACCCCAAGCCTTGGTTACCGGGTATCCCATAGTCGGTTCCCTAACTCCCCTGCAATTTCTCGCAGTGCACTCACGTGACATCGTCTCCTGGCCAGGCGGCGCTTAATCCATTTGAGCGCCTCCTGGCGTCCGCGGGCAAAGGACATGCTGCTGCGGTGCCAAAGGTGCAGGGCAATGACAAGGAGGCGCTGCACCCAGACTCCGAACCTCTCGCGGCTGGGCAGCTTGAACATGAAGTCAGGTCACAATTGGCACTCCACAATTATCATAACTTTTGGGCGGGATGGGATTTTCGCTTTAATTCCGTTGATTTCTGGAAGCGTTACACCTTGGGGGATAGACCGGGTTGCAAGACTCGTAGAATTTCACTTTTATTTCTAGGGGGCGGTACGCGGATCCGTTGTTACTTCAGTTGCGTTTGTTGTTTGACTGAGAATACCCGCCGTTCGCTCGTGGGCTCGTTTCTCTGGGTATGCCTCGGTTTCTCGACTCTAGAGAGAGAGAGAGATAGAGGGGGAGCTCGAGAGAGAGAGAGAGAGAGGTGTGTGTTGCATTTGCGATTGTCACCGGTGATACACTCACACTTTTTGTTGCTTTCCAGCTTTTCGCGTTTTGTTTATACGATACCTTTATTTGTGGGGGCCAGCGTGCGTGTGGCTTACTAAGAAACATATGTACATAAGTACATTTTGTACATACATAAGTAATGCAGAGACAAAAATCGAAACCGTTTTTTGCATTCAAAGCACACCGGCCCTGTGCACCTCTCTTTCGAATACTCCTACTTTTTAACTGAGCTTTTGAACTCAATTTGATTGCCGGCAGAGCAGAAGCAACAACAACACTAAATAACAACAATAGCAACATGTGAGCATGCATGGGGGAGGGGGTAAGCCCAGCTAACGGTGAAGGCGAAGGTGTTGCCGTTGTAATGCCAAATGCACGGCCTAGGCACAGTGGTTCAAGTTAGGTTTGACCAACCTATTTTGATTTTTGATTTATTGTGCTTAAAAAACCCTTTAGGAAGCCAGATTTCTTAACAGATTTTGAAAATATTTATATATATTTATTTATATTTATAATATATTTATATTATATATTTATTTATTTATGTAAACTATCATTCGTACAACCGTTTTGAGTTATTTTATTTAACTTTCTTCAGAGAATTTGGAGATTGAAGTCGGACTTCTAAGAACTTTTATGTAGGACTTCTGTAGGTCATCATTTCAACCATATGTATTAATGTAGCAGCTGATTTTTTACAACTGAATGTATGTATAACATTAAAGTATAATATTTTATGTTTTTTTTTTTACAAAATTATAATACAAAATTACAAATTACAAAAACTTTGCACTGAAAAGCGTTAAAAATATAGGTTAAAGTTTACAACTGTTCCCACCTCATGATCATCTTTCTAATTGCCTATCAACGGCATATCTTATGTATTTATATTCACTTCCTCTGATTTCTGGTCCCACTGTACCCACTTGGTTCATGTCTGGGCGTGTTCCTAGGCGATTCCCTTACAGACCTCTGCCGTGCCGCTAGGCGACGAAGGCGAACAAGTGTTTTGTTTTTTTTTTTCGGTTGCTCGTATAAAATGTGCGAAGAAGACGACCAAAGCCCATGGAACGTCCATCGAAAAGCTTTTCAGAGATTAATGCTGCCTGCTTGCTCGTTGGTGTTGTTATTTTGTTATTTACTCGCTCGCCGTTGCTAGTACGGTTATTTATTTATTTATGCTAATGTTGCTGCTGCTGATGGCAGAGCAGTAGCTACCGAGGCAGAGCAGGCAGAGACAGAGACGCTGACGTTGCATTTGCATTGTTTAGAATGAGAACAACGAGAAAACGAAGTCAACAACAACAACGAAAAAACAGGGCAATGACAACAAAACGATAAAAACACCAACAACACCAATACAAGAGTACAACAAAACTACAACAATGAAAACACCAACAACACCAACACGACAAGTGGCACTCACGCGACAAAAGCCCATAAATAAAGTGTTCTCATCGTTATCTCGTTTTCCATGCAATATTTTTGAGTATCTTAGTATATGCACGAGGAAAAAAAGGATTTTAATTAAAGTAATGCTTTAAATTATAATTTATAAGTATAGAAAAGCTAACTAATTACACTTTAAAAGAGTAAGATAATTCCCTTTAAACTTCTGAGAGTAATCTTCAGCAAGCCAGAGAGCAATAAAAGTACTCAGATATATGTTCTTAGAAGCAAAACCTTTTCCTCAAATTTTTTAAAATTTTTAAAAAAATTTAAAAATAAAATCATATTTATAATGCACCAGAAAATTATTTAAGGTGTATTTACATTTTAAATACGGTCACAAAGAAAGTTAAAAGTTCCCATCGTGGTGAAGAAATTGATAGAAAATTCTCAACACGTTCAAAAGCTGTTTCTCCGCTTCCCTTTGCTGAAGAATTTGGGATCGGATCACCCGGCTGTGCCAGGTATGGGTTCCACCTGATCTGAGGAACGAAGATGTCACCAATGGTACGAACGATGTGTATTAGGAGGAAACCAAAGCCAGTTCCAGTACCAAAGTCACCTTTGCAATTATTGTCATCAATACAAACATTCCTTTTACCGGAAACCAAAAGAAATTTTGATTTGAATATTGTTAAATTTATATATCTTTCAAAACTCTGACACCCGACAATATGAATCCTCCCCCTGTGGACAAGGAGACCGCTGAGCAGGTTCGCCTCCATCTCAGCAAGGAGGAACTGGAGCGTCAGATGCATAGTATTCATGGTCAAGGTGACTCACAGGAGATAAAGAGTAGGACTTTTGGAAACAGTAACCACTCGCGGACATCTGGTAGCGGTACAAATGCTCCGACCGATGGCCCCCGCCAGGAATCATGGATTTTTGAGAGCGTTGGAGGCTACTACATGCCCACCGAGGATGTGTCCAAGATTTCCTGGCAATGCAGGAGCAGCTTCTGATGCGTAACTTGATCTACGCCTTCTCTGGAGTTCCATCTTCATATATTACACCGGATATTCCGGCCGAGAAGATCGCAGAGATGACGGCAGTGGAAATAGCCAAGGTCCGGTTCCGCGTGGACGACGCATTCAATGGGGCCTTTCGAACATTGGCCAATACTGTGTTGCCTCTAATTGGTTACTACATCAGTGTCCAGAGCTTTATTGAGGAGACCAACATGACCCCCAGTTGCGACAGGACTCGCCTGGCGCTGGCCACCGCCCTCAGTGACGAGATGGAGGATTACTACAAGCTGCAATCCAAGCTGGAGACGGATCTGAATGAGAAAAGTTGAATCTCAAGGAGTTGGTGCAACAGGTTCGACCTTGGCTCTCCAGTCTCAAAGTGTTTGCCGGCATGGCCTGCAGCTCTCGGGGCCCGCTGAACAGTGCCCAGCTGGTGACCCTGCTGGATCAGTTCTCTAATGATCAAAAGAACGCAACATCGGATCTAAAGGATAGAGTTTCCCAGATCTTAGCCAAGGTCACCCATACCTATATGAAGATTGTGCAGCTGTGGACCCAAAAGGGTATTCTCTATGATGCCCAACACGAGTTTTTTGTGGAGGACACCGAGCGTTCCAGTGCCATGAGTAGCACTCTGTTGGCTCCTGAGCAGTGCTGCCAGGCTTACTGGACACAGCGATACAACCTGATACCCGACAGGTTGCCTTCCTTTCTGTTGGACCAAGCGGAGAAGATTTTCCTAGCTGGGAAATACCTTAACATACTGCGTCAGTGCAATGTTACAATGAAGCTGCTACAGAAACCGCTAAGCTATATTCCCCAGGAGACGGGTCACTTGGAGATTATTCAGGAAAGCTATCAGTTGCCAGCTGGCAAGCTTTTGGAGGTGATCAAGGAGCAACGCCTGGCAGCTCATCTGCGCAATCTTCGCGGATATTTCCTGCTGCAAATGGATGGCTTCGCCGAGACTTTGCTGGATAAATGCCAGGAGCAGTTGCAATGCAATGTAGACACATTATTCCCGAGAAGCTTCAGAATCTGTTAACAGAGTGTCTCCAGAAATCGAATGATCCTTCAAGGGAATGTTGCGTTGCCAGCTGAAGACCTGCGATGTGGCCACCCAGTTGGCCAGAGGACAAATGGCTGAGAAGGCTTGGAAAATGATGTACCGGAAGTACTCCGTCTCTACGGCTACGAGTCATTTGCTCTGCGCTATGAGGCCAAGTGGCCATTGAGCTTTGTGCTCCACTCTCATATGCTGGAGCAGTTGCAAGTGATCCAACGGGTCCTGCTCTTCCTGCGTTACGTGCACCGAACTCTGACCCTTTTGTGGCAATCTCCAGCCGATGGTGCAGCTCTCAAAAAACTGATCGATCTGGGGAGCTGCGTCAGCGCATGATGATGTGCATGTTGAACCTGGAACAACATATTACCCTGGACATTGCAGAACCGCGATGGCAGTCGCTTCTCCAAACATTGGACAAGGCCCAGAACATTGACGAAGTGCTAATCAAGTTCGAGGACATCGTTGAAGACTGCCTGAGCTTGGGTCTACTCTCCTCTGCCAATACCTTTGTGGCAAGTCTCTTTACACTCGGTCATATTTGCCTTAACTTTTGCGGCTTTGTGGAATCCCCACCAATTGCTGGCAGTAGCCAACATTTCGACCAGGTCATTGGGGAATACGAGGAGGAGTTTAGTAGCTTCTTAACCACCATTTTGACTTGGTGAAGCAACTGGGAAGTCCCAGTGGCAAGGAGGGTGAGCGACAATCCTGCAAACAGCTGCTCCAACGCCTTGAAGAGTACAGCAAGAAGTCCGAAGTGCTGCCCGACTAAAGAAGGTGCAGTTCCAGACACTCTAGTCACACTTGTTAAGTTTTCCGTGTTTTTGGGTCAGAAGCATGTCCAGTGGTTCAGCAGCCTTGCCAAATCAGCCGTGCCTCCCGTAAAAAACCCCAGCAAAACTTTAAATGAGCCGTAAAATCCATGAAGCAATGCGGGACTTACTCTACACTACCTGAACATTGGGCTTTGGGCATTGGATAGTAAGCTTTGATCCATTGAAAATATAATATTCTTTTTAAAATAAATAAATGGGAAATTTTAAATATATTGAGATAGAGATATGAATTATTTATGTTAGGTATCCTCTCCTATAATAATCATAATGTTAGTATATAACCACATTTTCTAGTTAACTCTTTAGGCCAAATTTGAAGTGATGAACCTTTTCCAATAAACGTGTGAGCTTGGCATATGAATATTGACACCTGTATGGTGTCTGCAATTTCCGATCGCCACGCTCGCCTCTACCACCGACTCACAATGGGCGTGAATAATCGATGTGTGTTTAATTTCTGGCCAGCGATCGCTTATGTCGAGTCACGGCGGCGGGGCTAGTGCAACGAAAGCGTCGATTTGCATAAGATCGTAAATTATTTTAAATGGCGGTAAACAGATTTTAATGCAGAGTTCCCCCCTGGCTGCTGCCAATTTGAATTCAAAGGCCAATTGTTATGTAAATGCACTTGCCTCAGTTGCAGACGCAGACGCAGTTGCACGCAGCCGCAGCCGCCAAATTTACGTGGACTCGTATTATAAATAAGAGGAAAAAAAGCAAGCAAGAAATCACTTAATACTTATCGCTTTAAGGACAACAGGTGGTCGACAACGATGACGCAACAAAACCGAGCTCCAAACCTGGGGATAAACTGCCCAGAGCGGGCCAATAATAATGCACTCGGAATTATGGTAAAGTTCAGATACATTGCTTCCGAAATGTATATCATTATCTGCTTGCGAAAATGATGGACTGCCGCTGTCGGTTTGCATTTAGTCCGATGAAGTTGGATTGCCTGAATGGAGCTCACCTGGAGGTGGAGTGGTGTACATTGGAGTGCCCTGGCCAGAGATACTACTATAAATACTCGTTGTATGGCCGTGGGAATTCCCCCATTTGGGCTTGAAGATCAGCATTATGAAGGGGCAGGTTCATTAAACTCGGGGCACGCCTCGTTCGCGGAGATGACTTCATTTGCTAGATTGGCTAGAAATGTCATAAACTTCAACCGAGCGGAAGCGAGCTTCAAGGTTCACTAGGCCCCTAATTGAGAGCCGAATTTTTGGCCAAAAGCCATTCAGCCATTAAGTCAGTGTTGGGTGGGTCAGCGCATCGGGGGTGGTCTTTAGAAAGCCAAAAAAAATTGATTAAAATGGAGAAAACTTTATAGAAAATGAAGCCTTTTGCATTGCTTTTAGTTAAATAAGAAAGTGGTAAAAAGAGATTCATAATAACATTATTAATATGTTATTTATTTATTTTCCAACTCAGTTTATCCCCAATCAAGATCTCCAGAAATACAAATCATTTTGACCTCTCAAGAAAATATCTACAACATTTACTAAACAGAATGGAAGCATTTTAAATTGAATTTTAGACAAACACAATGCCAATTAGTTTGTGGTATCATGTTTCACAATTTCCTCAATGGTTTCCACATCCACGTCACTCGATTTGGTATCGGATGTTATGTTTTCCTGGAAACCTTGCTGGCTCGTTGACTCCGCTGAATGATTGTGCAGGAACTCGTAGCCGAACTGACACTCGTTAACCTCTCCGCTCTCGCATTTCTCCTTGTACCAGAGCAGACGATCCGTGTTCCCACCCAGGGATTGATCGAGCAACTGACGCCGCTGGCGTCCTCGCTCTAGGAACTCTATGTAGTCGATGGACTCGAACTCATGGAAGGTGCCCAGGATATCGAAGGCGTCCTGGCACACCTTCTCGTAGCTGTCGGACATGGCAATCTCACGTTGCACCCGCTCCTGGATCATCTCGTTGCGCTGGAGGTCGGGCACCTCTGCCGGCAAAATGCGCGATCGGATGGTGGCTATGTCATTCTCCACACTGGCCAACACATCCCGATGTGACTTCTTCTTGGCCTCCTCATAGGCCAGCTGCTCCTTTTCCAGCGCCGTCTCTCGAGCCAACTTCTCGGGATCCATTTGCTTGCGCGACATGAGGATGGTCATCATTCGGTTTAGGTTCAGTTCATCCCAAAGCACGGCCATTCTTTCGTTGTAATTGCCCAACTTGCCTTTGGTGCCTTTGCTGATTGAATTAAATTGTTATTAATAAATTATGCAGTATATTATAAATTGAGACTTACTCTTGATCGCCTTCCTCCGCGCCCTTTTTCCGGGTGGCAAACTGCTCCTCCCGCTCGATGCGTTCCATCTCCTTGCGAGTCTCTTCTTCTGCTTCCCTCTTAGCCTCAATGATGTCCTTGTTGAGTTCGTAGTACTTTTGCTCCCACGCCTGAATATTCACCTTGCGTTGCTCCTCTTTAAGAACGTAGGTTATCAGCTGCTGCAGTTCATTGTTCAATGGCACGTCGAAGCTATGAGGAAGCTTAACCATTCGAATGCTGCTATTATAATCTCCAATCCCCAGGATTTGTGCGGCAGGGATGGCGATGCTCTGTGATTCCGGTGATAATGCCACCGCCAAGGATCTCTATGAGGCAGGCATCATCATCGCGAGCTAGGCAGGGAAAATTAGGAAATGCTTCGACTCCTTGTAACTGTGACTTACCCAATATATCCCAGGCCTCTAGGATGCCATCCATTCTGGTCACATACAGTACAGCCGGACGCGTCTCACTCCAAGCAACGGCAGTAAGGTCACAGGCTCGCTGTCGCCAAAAGATTGGTGAATAGTTGTAGTCCTCCTTCCAAATGGCCAGAATGGTGCGCCCAATGGAGGCAAAGAGCTCAGGATAGAAGGGATTCTTGCGTACCATCACCACAGGTCCATCGTGCACTCTGGCGAATGGAATGGAGCTGTTATGACCTCCGTGGGGTCACCCTCCGTGTAGGTGCCCTGCCAATCGATTCGGTTAATATGGCCATAGAAGTGGAGACAATAGACTCTGGCGTAGAACTGGCGGATCCTTGGCAATTAGTTTGGTGGGATAATTGTTGGGATTGGCTTGAATGACCCGCGGAACCGGGGTCAGGCAGCTAAAGTTTGCGGTGTCCCCTATGATCCCCGTTATTGGCTCGGGGAAATAGAGATTGTAGGTTGGCTTAATCGCTTGCGACTTGTAGGATGATTCGCTTTGGGTCAACTCCTTGGGCAGCATGCGAGTACGCATCTTATCCTTGCTGGCCTTGGTAGCACCCCCGTCCAAGTTCCAGAAGCTGATGGTTCCATCAAAGGAGCACGTCACAAAGAACTTGTGAACATTCTTGGCGTTTGGATCGTTGAAGACCTTGCCAAACTGATTCAGATACACAGAACTACCCAACCAGTAAAAGGCTGTGATGGGACCTTTGGGAGAAGTGGGCAGCATTGAAGTGGTGGCCGGTGAGATTCGATTGTCCTCCAACTCTATGGTCCAGTTGAGAAATTCCCCAATCATTGTCCGATACTTGGCCTGCGCGGCGGTTAGATACTCCTCCTCTTCCAGCCTTTCGCAACGTCCTTGCAGATCCCACAGGACCACCTGGCCGTTCTTACAGCCACCCAACAGGATATCCCCATTGAAGGGGCAAAACGTCAGGGCGGTGTTCTCGATCTGAGCATCGAACTCCAGCTTGTAGTTAAGGTTATCTGAGAAGCTCCAGAGCAGCACGGGATTGGGTTCCAACACCGCACGCTGCACGTAATCCACGCGGTTGGTGGCCTCGTTAATGGTTGCCTGAGTGCTAAAGGCATAGGACACAGCAATCATCCCGAAAGATTCGGATACCAATCATAGCCTGCCACATAGCGCTTGTTGCTCTTTGATATATTGGCAAAACAGATGAATTCCTGAAGGTATGGATTGGTATACTGAACCACCTGACGCTGGGATATCATAGATAGTCGTCTCTGGAATATAGGAAGTACTTCGTTGTCCTCTATATCCTCTTTGCACATATTTTTAACTTACCTATAGCTGTCAATCTGATTAAATCCAGTGTATTTAGCAACATCTGAATCTGCGAGGACATCTTCGGAGGCGGCTTCTCGGGAGCTACATATGTACCCGCCTTGGCTTGAGCCTTTTTCTTCTCCTCCTCTTCGTCCACATCCGTTTCATCCAGCTCGAGATCTGTGATTAGTATTTAAATTAAGTTATTAATTGGTAAATGATTGTATAGACCCACCTTCATCATCGATCTCATAGAGATACTGAGACCAAGCATTTGAGGGAAACGTGGGGTTCGTCTGCTGCTCTCGATCGATCTTTGGGGGAGCAGATTGTATGGCAACTGTGATCCGTTCTTGACCACATTCTCCCATTTGATATTCTCGTTGGGCAGAAGCTCAATCAGTCCATCTCGAACATCCCGGGTCAATCTGTAGTCAAAGGCCACATGACGCGGCATCTGAATGGGGTAGACACTCTGGATTTCCACATCGATGGGCTCCTCCTTAAAGTGCTCCACCAGAATGGTCATCTCGTCCTCGGTGCCATGGCTCACCCATCGGCGGGGCTTCTTGCGGAGACGACGCTGCATTCGCCATCGCTCAAAGTGTTCCATATTCTGGATGATGCCCATGGCCAGCTTGGACTCCTTGATGCTCGAGTAAAAGATAAAAGGATCGCCCTCGGGTGGATCGTCATCTTGTTCGGTCAGGAGGGGACAGAAGCCCATCAGCACAAAGTGCTCCGGGTTAAAGTTCTTGAACTTCTTCATCAGATCAGCAGAGTTCTCCAATTCATCGAAGAGGACATCGCGGAGATCCTTGAACTGCACCTGCTTCCAGGGAAACTCCTGGGTCACATTGATACCCACCTCGATCTTTAAGATCTTTTGAACTTTATCCCTGTATAGACGAACGTAGAAAAGGTTAAGGCCAAGGGAGTTAAGATACTACTTACGAAACCATGACCTTCTGGCAACTGTCCAGGTTCATTAGAGTTCGCCATGACTCCGATACATTGTAAAGATTCCGAATATCGCCCACATCTTCATCAGAGTCCGGCTCCTTGAACTTCTTAAGTAGGGTTTCTTGCTTTTGGTCAAGAGTTGTGCTGTGCCTGTGGTATCCGTTCCCGGCTCCTGATCCGGGAACAAATTCTCCAAATCGGCGTCATTCTCTATCCGTCCCGATCCCGAGGCTTCCAAGGTTGACATGGTCTGTTGGTCTGTCTTTGATTCTGTTTTATTTAGAGTTATTTATTATTTTTATTTGTTTATTTTTGGAACTGATGAATGGGAGACGACAACTCTGTCATGGCAATCCGGGGAGCATGCGCAGGTCTCTAGGAGTTTCTCTTGCCCTGGCAACCGCACGTGAACGCACATAAACAGAATTAAGTTAAAACATTTTCACTCATTTACATGGCCTGGCGATTTTTCCTCAACGATTTTTGAGCTCTTGAGTTTTGAGTGGGTGATTGCCTTGTTGTCGCTGTCGTTGCGCCTTTTGTCGCCGCAGACTCTGTCTCCATTGCCATGGTTTTTTTGGTGGCTAAAACTGAAACTGAAACTGAATCCGATGACGATGCCGTTGCCATTGCATTGGTTGGTTGTGTTGCTGCATTTCACATCATTATCTTTGACCAAATACGGAACTATGCGCAAAAAACGCAATTGTGTGTCACTCACAGTGACTTCAAGCCCAAACGAAAAAAGCTACGAAATGCAGGCAGAAATATGTGTTTCTTGTGCGATCTGTGGCAGTTGTTGTCCGAGTCCCAGTCCCAGTTCCTGACCCTCTCCACCTCGTCGATATGTACACCCACACAGGGAGAAATATAAACCTATTGCTATTTAAATTGATCTTAAAACATAAAATCTTATAAGATTAGAATCAGTTGATATTCAATTTCTCAAAAGTTAAAAATGCGGAAATCTTTAGAAAATGTAAAAGTATAAATCAAATATAATTGAAATTGATGTTTCTTGCAAGTAAATGTGTTTTCTTACTTTAGAAAGGGTTGTAAATTATTATTTCTTTTTTGAATGCCATTTAACGTGTTAAACCAACTTTCTGGCGTAAAGACTTTTATGCCATCGGCAAAACATAAAACATATCAGTGTTAAGTATACAAAGATTTATTTTAACGAGTATATGAATATTTAGGAACTGGCGGGCCAATTGGTCAGGCTTTTTCCTCACTGTGGTGCCTGAGATCGGTTCAACAAACGCCACAATGGAAAGTCTCCCGTTGACGACGCACTACGCAATCGAAATCGAAAGTTCTCTGATGGACAGCTGCGAAATGCGACTTCGGTGGGGCACAGAGTACACAGAGTACAGAGTGCAGAGTCAATGCACCACCACCGCGATTGGTGGCACTGGTGGCCGTGCTGATGGTGCCACATGAGTGGCACACATTTAATGGATGCACGTCGCTCACTTTCATTCTGGGCGTCTGCCCAACTTTCGATTTTAAATGCAATTTATGCACCTGTCACTCAGCCAGCTGATAACTGGCAACTCCGATTAGCCGCACTCTGCCGCATCGCGGCTATTGTGCCCAACGTTGCACTGTTGCAATGTTGCAAGTTGCCGCTTACCGCTTGCCAGTTGCCAGTTGCCTGTTGCCACAAAAGCCAATAAATCAGTGGACAAATTGTTGACAAAACATTTCGTAATTTAAATAAGAGAAAAACGCGACAAGCTGCCGATAGTCGCCAGCCGATAGTTGGTAGCATGCCCAGGCAAAACAACTTCCTCATCCGTCTGGAGTCCAAACAACAATGGCAACAACAGCCACGGCGGCAAGAAAACAAAATAAGCCACAAAAACACAAAATCCACAGTGGGGCAGACCGATAATTCGCTGATTGGCAACCGTATGAGGTTTTTCTTAAAGGAAAAAATAAACACCACAAAATATATAATGGAAAAACAGCCAAAGGATCCCCCTTGACCTTTATGTCAGCTTGGAAATCGTAAGATAATAGATACGCTGGAAGGGTGCTTTAATGAACTTTAACCTAAAGGAATAGTGAGCCTAAGAACTGCTTAACTTGTTTCTAGAAAATTTCAAATAATTTGAGATCTACAAAATACATTATATTATATATTTTATTATACAAAATCCTGATCATTTGCCTTTACTTCATTAAAACTTCTTAACCTTTATATAGAAAATATTAATAATTTGAGATCTACAAAATACATTGTATTATTAATTATTTATACAGAAGTCCTGATCATTGGCTCTTACTTAAATAGAAATATAGTAATATTTAAGATCAGTAGATCTATGCAACTTACATTTAAAGTTTTTTCTATATTATAGATTATAGATCTTTATTGCGTTATTGGGTACAACTAAATATAATTTGAATTCAAATTCCATTTCTGAACTTGATTAAAACATGTTTTATTTCAACATGAAAAGTGTGAACCTTTCCTAAGACTTTTAATAGGCTTTCCAGAGTGAAATCCTAGGAGTTTACCAAATGCATATCACTTTTTTATTTATACATTTTTATTTTTGATTTCTTTGCAGACTACCTGACATCCTCAAAGACGAATAGCTTAGTGGTAAGTGTTAAAATCGCATAATCACCTTAGAGGGTATTAGAGCCGCTCAATCTCTGCCTGTTTTTATTTTTTATTTGGTTTTTTTGGGGCTGGGTTGGGGAAATCATAATCGCCAAAAGTCGTAGGCAGTGGCCGGAGCCATGCCGGCAAATTCAGTTGGCATTCGGAGGCAGTCGTCGGCAGGAGTTGGGAGCTAGGAGTTGTGTACAACTGGCGACAAAATGTTGCATGTTCGTGGCGCTGTCACTTGGGAGCTCTGGGTGGCTGGGGGAATGTATGCAAAAAGGTGCTAAAAGATCAGAGGCAGCGATTTATCTTCATTTGCATTTGACGTCGCTGGCTGTGTGTCAAAAAGGTGTTAAGTGCCAGGCGGCAGACCCAGGCTCAAGTCATGAGCTTAGTTTTTCGGCTGCGGCGCCGCTTTTGATGGCAGCAGCAGCAGCAGCAGTAGCCGATGCGCATAATTTTCTATATTTTATAACTCTGAGGTAGCAAGGCACAGCGTTTTTTTTTGGGGAGGCGAGCTATGTTCACACACAGAGGCACATCAATCCGCTGAGCCGCTCAACCGCCCAATAAGGCAAAAAACCCCCCAGCACGAACCGTTATTATATGGCCAGGCAAATTTGCCAAAAAAAACAAAAAAACCCCCCAAGCGACACCAACAATGGCCACTTCTAGCCAGGCCAATAGACGGGGCCCAAAAGCAAAGTTACAGCCTCGAAATGAACTGAACCAAGCCAAGCGCTAGAGAGATAGTCGCACCGATAAAAGGGACATGAAATTCAAATTTGAGTGCTGCAAATTCGCCGGGCGACTTATCAGTCGAGTGAAATTTTTTGCAACCAGAAACGGCTTCCGTATTACGGCGTTTTGTGAATTATGTGAGAAATTTGTTAGTGGGCTAAATAGTTTACTGATTTGCCTGACTCTCTCTGTGTCGATGGTGCAACATGGCGTATGAGTAACGAAAAAAAAGGAAGTGAGATGAAATCAATAGATGCTGAGATAACAGCCAAAGATTTGCGCTAAGCTAAGAGTTTCCATTTAGGAAGAAACTTAAAGTGAGATAGTTCTTTTGTGCAACCCTATTTTCCTGGGCTAATTTTCCCATGACTAATTACTTGTCAGTGTAACAGACTGTGAAAATATGGCTTAATTTTAATAAGCAACTAAAAATGTAAAAAAAAATCCAATGAGAGGAAGCTCTTAAATTGGTGAAAGGGAAATGTCGGACAAACAACTTTTAATGGGAGATTGGTGGAAATTTATTAACTAAAACTTAGAGTCTTTAAGAGGGAGAAGGAGGTTAAATTGTATGATAAACAAATCTGTTTTTAATTGAAATTCAATTGAATGAGGGGTAGGACATTGGTTTCTTCTAACGGAGAATAATTTGCTATATGAAATCAGGCTTATGTTGAATTTATACTGTGAAAAGACAAAAAATATATATTAGATTACAAGAATATATATCCTTTATTCACATCCTTTTGATATCTTTTACCTCCATAAGATGCCGCCTGGCTAGAATCCACCTAGTTTAAGGCTACAACCGCATCGGATTGTAATTGAAACTGAAAGACTAAGGAGTTTGGGGAGCCGGAGATGGAGTCTGAGAAAGACCCCAAGATCGTGGCCGATTGGCGTCTCACCAGCGGGAGTGTGACAGTGATAATCCCCCAAGAAATATGCACACAAATTAGGCATGCATGGTACCCAGTCTCAGGCACTGTCCCAGGTCCCCAGGTCCAGGTTCAGGTATCGTAAAGTAAGGCTTAGTATGGGATCTCTTTTAAACGAGGGAGGGGCGGCCATTGTTGGCATATTTAAAGTTGTAAAATAGCAAACAAAACACGTTTGACCGACATTCGTGACCAAAGTGCGGCTGCCGTTGGATCGGGGCTGGACCAGGATTTCAATTTCAATTTCAATTTCGATTTCGCCTGAGCCGGCGACAAATGTGGAGCCAAAGGAGACCCCTCAGTTCCCCATCCAAGCTGACCGTGTGACTACTTTGGCAAATGAAAATGCTTAGAAGAGAAATACAAGTTGGGTCGAAATAATTTATGATGCACTTTCTGGGACTGTGGACTTGGGCTGGGACTGGGACTGGGACTGGGGACTTGGACCTAGCTGGGGATGTGGTGGACTCTGTGAGTCATGGGCGCTCCACTCCGCCGACGCCGCCAGGTGTCGCTCAAACAAAAGTGAAACCATTCTGTGCCTCTGCTCCCTCTGGGGCAACCCAACATAAGGAAAGAAAAAACCACACAGAGACCCTAAAATATGGCGCATTTGATATTTATTATTGTCTGCGTTTTAGCGTTTTAATCACATGGCCAGAGTGCACTGACCTGCCGCAACCTACGTTACTGCGACCAGCTACTTGTGGCTACCGAATTGCGGTGAAAATCCCTCGAAGTTGGTGCCACAGCAGTTGGATTAGCTTTACACTGGGAGCAGTATATTTCCCTCAACCTTAGGTACTTACTTTGAAAATGTCTTAGAAAGATGTATAACTCCTTAAAACTGTCTGATACCAAAGACTTTCTTCAGATACTTAATCAATTTTGTATAATTTCAAGGTTAAATCAAACTGTAGTTTTTCTCCAAGTGACAAAAGGTGGCCC